CAAATAAAAGATGTATATATGTCGGTTCGATGCCATAATGCAGAGAAAACTCTTACTTCTTTGAAGCATTTTTGTTCCAGCTGAATCGGACGATATCATTTTTGTAGGCCTGGGTCAGATTCTGTAACCAGTTAGCGACAATTATCGAATTGGTATCGGTTTTGCTGACGTATGATATGAAATATTTTTACGTCAACAAGTGCGATATCGATCCGAAACTTGTCGCTAACTGGTTACAGAATCTCCCCCCTGAAAGGCTTCTTCATCCGTCAAAGCATTTAACTAAGGTTAAAACTGATAAAATGATATTCCTCTAATAGCGATAAGTTCAAATGTTTTAGCCGATATCATATAAATTAGTAATGAAAGTTTTTTCTAAACTTGAAATGCATATAATAAAGATTTAATGTAAAGAATCGGTATCGGGTACCGAAAAGGTAGGTTTGGGTACCGAAATCTTTTTTAATTATTGGGTGCCGAGCATTGGGTACCGACAACTCAGCACATCACTACCACTCCCAGCAAGAGCAGTGATGGTAACTTTGACGTGACCGTCACGCGTGCCCGCTAAGTTCGGCACATTTTGCTATCACATTCCTAATAGTGAATTGAAAATGCTCCCAGCAGTTTTGTGTACGTGTGATTTTTCAAATCAATTAGTTTGCCTGCTTGCACATATATGAAAAGATTAGCTTGACTACTTACTCACATCTGAAAGATAGCTCGCACGAAAAAACAATAAATGAAACTTCAATCAAAAATTATTACAGGTGTGTTAATAGCACCATAAAATTTGCGTTTGTGGTAATGGTGGGATAGTAAGCTGCTATGGATGCGCAATGTTGAGGAATGGGGAAGCTTCAGAGCCTCGCGGCACTGTGCATTACCGGAGCGCTGAAGTCTACTCCAACTACTGCTTTAGAAACAACCTCGGTTTACCGCCCATTGAACAACGCCCTATCCCGGATTTTGGGCTAAAACGCCCTATCTCAACTGAAAATATATTGAAAATACGTATGTTGAAATATGGCGTTCTTGAACCGAGTTCTCAAATAGGGCGCTTTTCAATCAAATTTTAAGATAGGGCATTTTCGAACTGGCTACCGAGATAGGTCGATTTTCCGCTCAGCCGTTGGGATGTACATACATATGAATTTTATATCCATTTAAAATCAATTTCTTCTTTTTCAGATTTGCGAATTAAGTTTCTTTCTTCTCTTTCGCCTTGATATTTTCAATTTTATTTTTTTGGTGTGAATATTTCTCCATCGCGCAATGGTAATTTTTCCTCAAAGTCATATTTGAGTCATAAAGCAATCGATAATTAATTAAATAAATATTATCACTTTGTTGTTGTTTACAACTTCACTATGCCAAATGAATATTGAATACAAAGTGTGCAAGGTGTTAATAAAAATCATATTTGTATGCATACATACATATGTACCTACACTGTGAACAATTAATTCAAGCGGACGATCTTAAAGAACCCAATGCAACTTACAGTTAAATAATGCAATAGAAGGAATTATAGGATAAATATGAAGGTCTCCAAAGTTTATTCTGATATATTGTTACTGACTGATTGACGTTAAATCTTTGAGAACTAAAACTTGTATTCGTCTTTCAAAAGCAACATACAGCGTGTACAGAATGCGAAAACGGTTTAAAAATTTACAGAATATTTATTTACCGCTAACAAAATTGTTATTGCCAGCGCAGAATAAGCCTGTAAGTATAGATAGGTCCTTCTTCTTCTTATTTGGCACTACAACCGTTTGTCGGATTGGGCCGAGACCAAAAAGCCTCGCCAGCATATATGTAATACTCCTATATTGACAGTAAGAGCTAGTACCGTCCAAAAACACTACAGTACAGATATATCAATAAACACGTACGAAAGAAAAGGAACACATACGTTTATAAATAAACATGTACACAACACATATACAAAAACGGCACTCAAGTACACAATACATTGACAAAAACGGTACTAGACTGTCTCGCTTTGATTTCGGAATGCTTACACATTGAGAAGTTAGCTCACTGCCAATATAGAAGTATTACATATATGCTCGCCAGTTTGCCTCTTTGCGGATTTGCGCCAGTTGTTAATGCCAAGTGCGGACCGTTCCTTCTGCACTCCTTTCATTGTGTTCGTGGGCGCCTTTGGTTTCGTTGTCCACCCATGGGTGCGGAGTCGAAGGATCTTTTCGCCGGAGCGTTGTAGTCCATGCGTCCAAGCCATCGCAGTCGTCGTATTTTTATGCGCTAAACTATGCCCATGCCCTTAAAAAGCTCCTACAGTTTGTCATTGCATCTTCCTTGGTACTCGTCGCTCACGCAAATAGGGCCTACGATAGTTCTTTTGAAATTCCCCTTCAATTTTGTTTTTGTTCACCGGTTCCGAATTGAAGGATATTTTTACTGGGGTATCCTCATTCATGCTGCCTACAAACATCGTGCCATCGTTTTCGCCCGACCAACTTCATTAAACTCTTTCTATTAGCTGGATAATTAGCTGTTCCCGTGATGTTGAGCATCCGATTGAGGAATTTTACGGCAGTGGATCGCCTTACTTAAAACCTCATTTGATCTCGCACGGCTCGGAGAGTTCCTTCACAATTTCGACTGAACTGAAGGTTGTGCTCAACGTCCCTCCGTACAACCACATTTGTTTTGCGGGAATTCCAAGAAAGATATAATATCGTAGGAGCAACTTCACTCCATGCTGTCAAAATAGCCTCTTTAAAGTCGAGGAAAAGCTGGTATGTTTCGATTTGCTTGTGAAGCCCCGACCAACATCTAGAGATGTAAATACGTAGATAGTAAAACCTATTAGCGGTCGTCTTTCGGTAGGCAATGCCAAACATCCGAATTTATTTAGCTTTGAAAAAGCTTTTATAAAAAAAACAACTGCCGTCAGGGGCACCGTTAAATTGTAGATCCCTGCGTTATCGAGGCGCGCAGCACAAAAGGGAGACAAAGCTCGGGCTTTATTTTCATGAAAGCTGAAATCTGATGGCTTATTTGCTCATCCCCTGATTCTTGCAGTCGGAAATTTAACACCACTTCTTCGTTGTTCTCAGCGTTCGTCACCTCCGGCGGGGTATACGCACAAAATAGGCATGTGTTGAATTTAGCTTTGAAACGGATTAAAGCAAGGTGTCAGAGCCTCACCTCAACCACCGATCCCCCATCTTGCAGCTATGCGCAGTTTATTGGCAGGTTCTGCATATCACCTGCGAGTGAATTTCACCCAATGTCACTTTGAATTCAAAGTGAATTCAAATTTTGAAGATCAACGGGCTTTCAAGATCTTGGTTGCGTAAGAAGGTTTTTCCTTATCTAATATCAAAGCCGCATTTTTGGAATATTACCTTATGCGGACTAATTGTTTAGATTTCGGACGTCCTTATTGCTATCTGTGGGCATACATAATTTCCGATACACTATGAAGTCGTGTACATACATACATCCTAGAGGTTTACGCCGACAGGCTTAGTGGCGGCGGCGTCGCTTACTTTAAAAAGAATAGGCAAATAAAAGAAAGTCTTCAGCTATTAGAATAATTTAAGTTGCACTTAGTTAATTTTTATAATAGAATTACTTAACGTTAATTCATTAAAAATTTTAATACTGCCGTGGCCTTGAATAATACACGCATATAATTATTGTTCTAATAATACCAGATTTTAGATAAATGAGCTGCACCTCTTTAAAAATATGTTTGTTTTTAACCAAGTAATTTTAGATGGCTCATGAAAATATGTATTTATGTTGTACACACAAATTTTTTGCCAAAGAGACTGTCGATACAATTAAATTACAACATTCTGACGATTTCTTGCATTGAGGTCTAACCTTTCTCAATATTGAAAATTTGATCTACGGGTTATAGATTGGACCCCTTATTGAAAACAAGATGGTCAACTTTCTTCCAAAAGTTTACAATCAACTCTCACCTTAACGGGCCTTTAAAAGATGGTTAAAATTGCCGCTAAAATTTTTTGGCGTAAGGTTTTTTTTTTGCTCTGCTTTGATAACTTTACTGAAAGTTCCATGCATCTGTGAGACGTATCATGGTTTGCTTGCCCTTAATTTTAATAGCAATTTTTTTAACAGCAGTTTTATGAAATTCCGTTTTCCAAATATGGATTCTTCAAATATTTGTTTTATATTCAAATGTATGTTTTGTTTTACTTAAATATTTTCCCTGATTACTATAATAAAGAAAAAATTATTTATTTTTTCATTTGCGGAAATAGAGCGAGAAAATTGTAAAAAGCATAATTTTTTTTTTTTTGTAAATTAGCGATATATTTCAATGCACATCATTTTATTTACATTATTCCTTAGTCTTTTAGGATATTTCTACGGCGGCGCGTGAGAAAAAACGTCAGCGGCAGTGGCGTGGCTCGACGGCGTAACTGTCCAATACATGCATAAATGGGTGACCCCACCTCCAAAAGAAAAATCTCTGCAAACAATAATCATCAATACCCATTTTATCGAACCGTACGGATTTCTCGGCATTGCAGCGCGGAAAGAATGGCCTGCGCAACAGCTGTGCCGCCGCCGCGTCTGCTACCAACATCAAATACAGCGCGCCTCTGCTACCTCAAGCGGCGCTGCTGTGATAAGCAGAGAATAAGCACAACAATACGCTTCGAACGTCATCATCATTAGAGGAGCGCGCTCAGCGCGGTACTGTAAAAAAATCTGTTTTCGACCCTCGCGCGCGATTAGCGCTTCATAGTTTTTTGGAGGCGCACGCTAGCTGCCGCGGTATCTCGTTCGCTTGTTGGCTGTCTAGCTGGGCTAGCAAGTTGCCTGCGGCCGGTTGTTTTGGCATGTTAGTGCCTAAATTTCGCATTCATTCATCTTTAAGCGTTCGTAACGCGCGCGTCGTTTGAAATACCAAATTGGAAGAGATCAAAATTTGTGCGCGTGTCTTAGATTGTTATTTTTTTCTATTTAACAACGCTGCGCGCACTTTTAAAAATTTCGCATCACTCACATTCGGAGGCTCGTAAATTGTGAATGAAAATCGACAGCTACCGCTAGTATTATATCTAACCGTTAAAATCAATTTCCGCCCGAATACAATTAGTGCATAAAATAGTGAAACGATTGCCAGATATCCGTTGCGCGCGCCGCAATCAATAATACGTCAAACAGGCGCTGGTTGTTCTGCGGACAGTGTAGCATAAGCACAGATATGACGGACATAGCTCTGACGATTGTTAAATGTTCCTCCGCTGTCCCGAAGCATTCCTTTGAATGGCGAACGTTGTTGCTGTTCGTTTTGTTGGCGCTATTCAGTGAATCAGTGCGGTGCGTGTGCCAATTTTTTTTTGCAATTCTTTTTATAGTATTCAAATACGTATATAAATGTGTATTTATTATTAAATATTGTTTCTTGTTCTTTCAACTAACCGGCTTGATATTAATAATTTTTATGTGTTAGCACCAAAATCATTGCTTTTATGTTTTTCGTTTTGGTTTAACTTACCACAAAGTGTGTTAATCTCAAATTGTTTGACGACGACCTCATCTTTATCTCTGTGACTTTATGAAATCAATTGGTAATCATGCCTTTCTGGCTATATACATAAATAAAAAATAAAAAATAATCATTGAACAATCAACAATGCTACCGATGCACATATGGTCTAAGGACTGATAAAAGTACATACATATATGTAGGTCAAAAGGGTAATAATGAGTCTCTGTCTTATCTACTTCTATTTCAGCGGGGATAAACTATACCCCAATAGCCGCGATGATCTTAGGCAGTAGACGCGCTTTGGACCGCCACGTAATTGTCCAATAAAAGAATAATTATTTGGCGCTCATATTTTCATGAGTGCTTGGGGTCTGTGCCTCTATGTTAGAGAGACAACTGGGCCCACAATATAATAACAATAATATTTTGGCGCTTCTTCACAAATGAACGGACCTATAGTTTAACGCACTTCCGAACGGCAAATGGATTTATGAGAAGCTTTTTCAAGCGGCCGCTGTTTGGATAAAAACTGTTTCTAATTTAGATTTTGTTCGCACCAAAACCCAACCCAATCCCAAAATCCCGCGGAGTGGCAGTACGCACCTCAAACCACTCAGCCACCTGGGTCCATAATATGTAATTATAATATCGGTCAATACAACATCAAAAGTTGTAATAAACTCAAGGCACCTAAAAAGTTCTTAAAAGCTTTAAGAGAGGGAATGTGCTCGTGCTGTGGACACATTATGTTTTTAATTTCTCCTATGGGATATTAATTAGTAATTACTACCTCATTAAACCATATCCCCAAGCAAATATCGCTAGCTTAAAGTGAGGGGTTGCTCAAGAAACAAGAAACATTAAAAATTCATCGTTTACAAAAAGACCAAATTACTTATGTTCTTTATTTCTGCCCATTTTTAGGCTGTGAAACAAAAATTTTCAAAGTCCAGAGAAAGCACACAAAGTTCGACAGACTCAAAAGAATATAAAAAATATTTCGTTCATTAACATCGAACTCTGTCGCTTCCTATGGAGTTATGTTTTGCAGTCAAAGTTCTGCAAAATTTTTGGAGCGAATTACTGTGAAAGTTTTTCTTCTCTCCTGTAAAGTTTGAAAAACTGGACTTAACACGTTTTCACTTTGTATGACGTTGTGTTGTTGAGCGCCACTACTGGTGTTCTGCCCTTGTTGAAGTGAAACTTCTTTAGTGGCGGTTGGTTGGGAGTAAATTGGCAAAGTCAACTTAAATTGCACGCGGAAATAGTGCAATGGAAATTGCACATGGAAATAGTGCAACGAAAGTGGCACAATAAATTTATGTATATACATAAATGGTATTAATTTAACAAAAACTTGCTCATAACTAAAAGTTTAAAGAATAGCACTTAGAAAAGTACCAATACAAGAATGAAAGTAATGGTGAGTGCGTCGAATTTTCTAATCGATATTTTTATCGATTTTGTTATCGATTATTTATCGATTTTATTATGGATATTTTTATCGATCTTGTTATCGATATTTTCATAAATATTGATATCGATATTTTTATCGACATTTATATCGATTTTATTACCGATTTTGTTATCGATTTTGCTACCGATATTATTATTGATTTTGCTATCGATATTATTATCGAATTTTTTATAGATTTTGTTATCGATATTTTTATCGATTTTGTTATCGATTTTACTATAGATATTATTGTTGATTTCGCTATCGATATTACTATCGAGTTTGTTATCGATATTTTTATCCGCTTGTTGTCGATATTTTGATGGATGTTACTATCGATTTTGTTATCGGTAGAGTATAAAGATTAAAATGAAGATAAAGGAAAACATAACATAAATGTGATTAGAACGAACAGGTTAGAGGTAGGGATCTAGATAGAACCTTAAGCAAAATCAGATGTATTTGCGTATGTATATATGCATATTGGTTATGAGACAAACTAGATATGTATCGTAAGTAGAGGTTCACATGTTGAAGGGGCATACAAGGTGTAAGTCGTGCCATGTATGTTGAGTAACAATTGCATCATGTTGTACCAGTTATGCGGCCTTAAATATATGCATCAAAACGGCACCCAAACGGAACAAAAATCTGGTAGACGGAGCCTGAAAAATATACCTAGTTGTTCCAAGTGAACACCACCACCCACTTTTCCATCCTTGTAAACATGATTTGATCTTCTTTACCTCACCGTGTTCAATATCCACGCTCCCCTTGAGGTCAGTCAGGCTATGGACTTGGTGTTCGTAGTGTGGTTGAATGGTTGGTTAAACGGTGTTTACATGAGGCGATTTTCAAGGCAATTTTATAGGTGATTAGTTGAATCAAAAGTTGACTGCAGCCCAACTTCATTGGAAGCGATTAGTTACAAGTAATTTTTAGAAAAAAAACCGACTTCAACTCTCATAAAAAAAATATATATATATATATATATATATATATATATATATATATATATATATATATATATATATATATATATATATATATATATATCATGATTCATTGATCGGATCTTAACCAGATTAGTATCGGACCACTTCTGGGACACTACCTTACCGATGCAAAAAGAGTTATCGAAATCGGTTGACGTGGTCCAAAGTTATGCGGTAATATACATAAAAAAAAAATAAAAAAAAAAAAAGATAAAAAATAAAAAAAATATTCCGACGAACTGATAACCTCCTCCTTTTTTGGAAGTCGGTTAAAACGGACGTTCACACCATACGATTGTTGCTTTCAACTAGAAGTTGCCAGTAAAATCGCCTCATATAAACACCATATTATAGCAAACTCTGTGTGGTCGGTAAAAATTTGGTGGAGACCGATATGTGGACGCATCGATTTCTTAATCCGCACAAGTCTTATGACAGTGTTACGTGCAGTCTTTTTTAAATGCATATCCGTCGGAAGAAAGTTTAGTAGCATGTTGATCACTTTGGTGGCTATTGCCTTCGTTATTTCTGTTATTACTAGAGAAGCCAGCCGTTGCATTTTTCTGGGTTTCTCCGTTTTTATTATTTTTGGTAAGATAAAGTTTCTGTTAGCACTTGAAGACTAGTGAGTATTGAGATAGTTTCCTTAGCAAAGACACTTCAAATGGATTATTGTTAGAACTGTGGCGAGTGACGATGACAGCTTCTAATCGCCCACTCCGAATGGTATCCTAGCTATTATTCTCAAGAAAGGTGTTGAGCTTCTTGTGGCGACCTTAAAAAAGATGTGCACTGCGTTACTTGTTCTTGCACTGAAAATAAAATCTACGTAAATATAACGAACACTTGCGTACATCTGACGAAATTTTTCGTCCTTATGAACCACGAAAGTTTTCGTTAATTGTACAGAATTGTTTTCGTACATACTACGAAAATATAAGACATCAGATCTTTAGTACATTTTATGAATGCATTGGTATTATTTACAAACGAATTTCGTACTATTTACAAAAGATTTTCGTACTTTTTCGTACTTTTCGAAATTTTTGTAAAATGCACAAAAAAAAATCGTATATTTAACGAAATTCTTTTCGTAAAAAAAAAAATGTTACCTTCTTATCGCCCTCTTCTTAGTGTTTGTGCGTAGAGAGCTAAGAGAAGGTTGCATTTTTCGGTAGCAACGAAATCGGAATTAGTCTTACCAAATGAAAACCATCAAGCAATTTCTATTGCCGTCAAACATCAAATATTTGTTTTAGATTATTCTCGGTGTCTCGAATGCTTTTCATACGTGGTGCAGCGCACGCGCACCAGTGTTGGATTTTTTTCTGATAAGCCAATGCATGGCGGTCATGTGTCAACTCTCTAATATCCAACAATAACAATACAAAAATAAATAAAAAGCAACAAAACAAAAACAAAACTTAAAATTCACTCACTCACCTTTGCCAGCTAGCAATCAGAGGTTACAATTAATGGATAGCTCCACGAATGATTATAAAAATCAAATCACAAATTAATATTTAATTTTTTATTGTATTTTTAATCCAGCAAATTCCTTTATAAAACGTTTAAATTTATATTATACGGCAGCAGTCAACCGGTAATTTCGCAATGACACGCATGTACCGAAATATTAAATTGCCGGTAATTAAGTACCTTGTACGAAAATATTCGTATCTTGTACGAATTTAAAAAACATGTTCTGCGTGTGTTTAGTAAATTGTACGAATACAGAATTGTTGATTTCGTAAATTTCGTACAAAATACAAAATTATTACAGATATTTGCTCCATGATTTAAAAATGTGTTTCGTAAAATAAACGAAAGATTTTGTAAATTGTACTGACAAAATGCCTTACGAAAGACTTTCGTTATATTTACGAATGGTTCATGAAATCTTGTTCCGTGCATTGTATGGGCGTACATATTATAGAATCATAAAGAACTTGTTTTACTCTGGGTGCTATTTGGATAGATCGGACTCAGATGAGTATTCATTGGTTCGCAACAAATTATAGCACTTCCACCTTCAGCCATCGAAGACACCATCAAAAACTGGGTAAATATTTCGCTAGACAGCGATTGGCAGACTTCGAGGTCTGCAGGTGGGCAAAGCTGTGTTTCGATCTCGTAATGTCTAAGTAGCTATGTATTTGCTTTCATTGAGCAGATGGGACTGCAGAGAACTTATGGTACTGCTGACTGGTCCCATGACGTTGTACAATCGGAGATATCTACATGAAAACTTGATTTTACCTTCCTGCATTGAAGACTATGAACATTCTTTGGGCGAATACCTCAACCATCTCTCTCTCTCTCTCTGAATTGTTGGTAAAGTGCGTAGTTCTAAAATCCATTAAAAGAAAACACGAAA